ATGAAAATATACTCATAAAAATGAAAGAGAGAAATAACACGTCATATTGGGATGATGAATATCTGAAAATTATACAAGGGTCACTAAATGAACTAGAAGATTATTTAAAAGCAAAAACTGCGATATAAAAAAATATCACAAAAAATATCACAAAAAATATCACAAAAAATATCACAAAATTTATGAATTTTTGTAATAAAATTTATGATAAAATTTTATGAATTTTTTATCATAAATTTCTGAAATTTTAATGGTGAAATGTGCGAGGGTATGATGTCAAATGTGGGCAAAAATTTATGGAAATGTTGAAATCATAGGGTACCCCCTAGGGGAAAAACGTGTGAGGCGTTGGCGGGACGGAGATAAACATGGGGCATGGCCTACCCTAACTAAAACTGCATGCCCCCATCGGGCTCTACAGCTCGAGGCTCGGCAGGATCCATTGTCTCCCTCAGAAGTTGACCAACCTGGCATCAGAAATTAGGTTTATCTAGTCGCGCACAATAGCCCGCTTAAAACATACCGAGACCACCGCCAAGCCAAGGCCCGCCGGGTACTCCTGCGTCTCGGTCAAGCTCGGCCCTCCGACCTGAAAGATTGATCTTAGGTTTTTAATGATTGGGTGCTAATCTATGGACTTTAAGACCCTGGCACACCGCTCGATCCCCTTCTTGTCCACGAAACGACGAACAGTGGTGATCTTAAGCCATGATCGGATCCGCTTCAGCTGCGACCTTAAGGTACATACAAGGTGCTCGTGGCGTGGCGTGGCGTGGCGTGGCGAAGCGTGGCGTGGCGTGGCGTGGCGTGTTGATACTATGAACATATAAGTAGATCGCAATATAATCGCGCACGAGATTATACCGATCCTCAGCCCGGGGCTGTCTCAACTTGGTGTCTTTGTTCTTGTTCATGGCGGCCAGACGTGGCAGCATCGGGTGGGTTCCATACAACACCACATCTTTCTGGGTGTCGGCGCCAAAATTGCCGAGACTGATCGTAATGGTCTTGGCATGGTGCCTTCTCAGCAGGTCCTGGCAGGATCTGATGTATGAGCCCCCAGATCAGTGCGTGAGTAAGAATATGCAGTCCTTCAGTGGTGCATACCTCCATATGAGCGACAGCTTGGGGTTCTCAATGATATAGAAGATTTTCTTCTTGTGCAAGTACTCGAGTCTGCAGTGCTGTAACATTTTGAATGGATATATGGGTTGAGTACTGCACCACCCATTAATAACCAGATAATCATAATCGGCTAAACCTATAAGATTCCTAATTGTTATAGATTGGTAACTATTGATGGGAGGGTGCACTACTCAACTCATAGTTGTCTAAACACTGACTTCCGGTGCATTGCAGCTGGGAGCCCTACACATAGACCAATCGGCGGACAAGCCGGTTGGCCTGAAGCACTTTCTCGAAAGACTTCGTACCTGTCAAACATAACGGCCCCGCTCCACGAAGCAATCGCCGCTAGCGGTGCACGACCAAGCCTTGAGGTCTCAAGCGGCGACGCTTCGTGCTGTGCCTGGACCTGGGCACATGTGCTACTGGGACACATTTTCAAGTAGAGCAAATCGAGATCTGGATGAAGGGACACTAGTTTAATTGTGGGAGTTCCACACGAAATGGTTTCGGATCTCGTAGGGAAGGCTTCCTTGAAATGAGCATCCTATTAGTTGTAGTTCTATATTATCAACTAAAGACCCATAATTCTGAAACTAGCACGTGTGCTCTGAGAAGCTGGCATCCAAATCCACGATTTACATGGAGGGCCAAACCAATGAAGCCCACCAATCCTGGTTTTCCTCGCCTCAGAAACAAGCATCAGTTCGTATATCCCTTCAGTGTGAGCTGCGTGTAAGGACAAGGCAGCATTCATGGCTAGGAGGAAGCCGAACGGCTTCAGGAAGTCCATTGCTTTGCCATACAGCACCTTCGGAGTATAGGAGCAGTGCAGCAGTAGCGATGCGGTACAGCTGGGCGTGCGGCGTCGGAAGCCCTCGCTCGGAAGCCGTAGGACGACACCATGTTGGTGAGCTTATGCTTGCCTTATCAGAATCTGGTGATGTAGGGATGTTTGAGAAAATCAATGGTCCAAACCACGGCCTGCAAAGTGCTCGTGAAAGTCGTGCAGCTCATCCTCCGTAGGGTCGCCAAAACCTCAGCATCACGGATCTTCGTAGGACACCTACAACCCAGTAGCGATTCGATTTTCTATTCAGGGGTGCGTTTGTGTAGGAAACAATTGTAGCAAAAGAAAGAGATAGCCAAGGACCGAATCCATGAGAAGAGATCACAAAAGAGAAAGGCAAAGCGAAAGCGAAACCACAGATTCCTGAAACCACGTTACGTGTGAGCCCGACACTTTCTCTGTACCTGTGCCGTGCTTGAATCTTATTACGACGAGACTCGTTCGTGCTCATTGGAATACAAGTAGATTTTAAACCAATAGTTTATAAAAGAGAGACAGACACAGAAAGACAGATCGAGAGAGAGAGAGAGAGAGATAGAGATATCAGATCTGGAGTTTGATCGTCGCTGTTGAAGCACAAGCGCTTGATAACCCGAGCCGAGGAACTACACAGCAGCGATGCCACGACGAAGGCTAGCCGAGAGAACTGCATAGTCCTGGCGTATCCATATGTCAATTCTTCTGTAAGAGTCACAGTATATTGAGATGTTCATATGGTACAGTCCTGTCACACACGGCCGGCCAGCAGGCGCTAGGACCGCTAGGTCTAGCAAAAGCAAATGCTGCAACCATGGAGTGAAACTTTCAGAATCTGCATGTTGCAACATGTATGCACGTGCACTAGCAGCAAAAGGCACAGGCTTTCGTAGCTTCGATCGCAAAGCCTTTCTGGTGATCGGCCAGTGCTGCCCCCTTGAGGCTCTGGACACTCGACTGTGGAAGCTGAAGCAACTTGTTTGGAATTCCGGATATAGGAGAGTAGTTCACAGATAAGTAAGGTTGAGACGGGTTTAGACCCGGTGCCAGAGAGTCCAGCTGGCGAGCATGAACCCCAAATCCCCTTCAGCAGAGCCGATCTGTGCAAAAGAGGCACTGACAAGAGCAGTGCATAAAGGGACCGAATATGCATATACCACGGGACCCCGGGACCCCCATAAACCCCAAACTTTAGATTCTATATTCTATATCCTATGAATAACCCTGCCCTAATCAGTACCTCCTGCGTTTGATCTCGGTCTCTGAAAGGTTTGACAAAACCTTGGCCCTTGCGTCACTAGCCTTCCACTTCTTCTCGATTTCGGCTTGTCGCAGGCTTTCGATTTGCCTGGGATGTAGGATCGAGACTGAGGTTTGTAGGATTTAAGGGTCGGGTTGGGATTCGGGGATTGGAGTCGCATAGGCACCGAATCATCAATATTGCAATCAAGCTACTTGTCCATGAAACTTCGCTTACGTCTCATGTACTCAGTCTTGGGTTCCTTCCTCGTATCCGTTTTGGATTTGGGAGCTTTCGTTTTCTCGGATCCTTCGGGCTTCGACGCCTTCTTAGCAGCTGCTTTGCCTTTCTTCTCGGCCTCCTTTGCTTTCTTCTCCTCGCGCTTCTCTGCAGCCAGCAGTTTCTGCGCATGTGCATGCGCAGTTTTGGTAGCATGTCCCAGGCAAGCCGTGGCGACCTTCATGGAGATGGTGTCATTCGCGACGTCCTGATCAGGCTCATTTACGGAAGCTACGAAGGGATCATACTGCAAATTTAGTTGTGCAATTGGAGGCACCTTCGGAGTGGTATCATGGGGTGGCTTCTTTTGGACCTGTGCAACACACAGTGTTTTGCGACCTAACGATCAATACTTGAGTAAGGCCTCTGTAGCGGGGGCCGACTCCTCTCCGACCTGTGCAACACACCATTATTTTCAAAACTGAAGAAATATGACTTGATGAAAGCCTCTGCGGGGGCCGACTCGTCGTCCTGTTCAGCACTGAATAAATTTCTGAGGTACGGTCAGGACTTGATGAAGGCCTCTGCGGGGGCCGACTTCTCTTCAACCTGTGATCATATTCAAGAAACTCAAAGCTTTTCTTAGGTACGGCCAAAGCTTGATGCAGGCCTCTGCGGGGGCCGACTTCTGTTCGACCTGTGATCATTCATGTTCAAGAAACTCAAAACTTTTCTTAGGTACGGTCATGCAAAGCTTGATGCAGGCCTCTGCGGGGGCTGACTCCTGTCCAGCCTGTGCAACACACAAGAAACTCAAATGGTTTCTAAAGTACAGTCAAAGCTTGAAGGATGCCTCGATGGCCCACGGATCCTGTGCATCCTGTGCAACACACAACTTTTTTCTGAATTGACACTAATACTTGGTGTAGGCCCCGACGTCCCAGGTCGGCCAAGCTTCCTGCCGAGAAGATTAACTGGACATGATCAAATCACTAGCAGTGAATAAAACCCAGCCTTGTTCCAAGATCCGGCTACCGAATCCTGCAATCAAGATCAACAGCGATATACAAGTAGAATTTAATTGTGAAGTCATGCAGCGATCCTCGGGGTTGTGAGGCGCAGGCTCGCATTCACGATCAAACGACGGAGCCTGTGCATACACAGAAGTCTATTTCAAGCACTGGGGCACAGGTCGCATCGAAACTGTCCTGGTTCTCCTCCTCACCAAGCCACTCCTGCGAGACACAGTGCTACTTAAGGCTACTAAGGATGTTCTGGATTTAGGAGACGAGAGGAAGAGAGCGAGAGATTTTTTGGGGTTTAGACCTATATCCTTTTGAGGAAGCGAGCCGATATAAATGTAGAACACATACTCATCATATTGAAGAAGTCCGAGCCTGAGGCTCAGCCCATGTCGAGTTGACCCAGTTGTCCTTGAACGGGGGTATGCCAGGAACAAGAAGCAATGCATTAAATGAATGATATTTCAGCGAGTCCTCGCCATGCCACTCATCGTGATCATCATTGCGCGGAGCAGCTTGTGCAACCTGCGCAGTGTTTTGATCAACTAAATGAAACTACATGATCCGATTATGGCACTTGATACGAAGCAGCCTGCTTGGGCCAAACCGTCTGAGACTGCTCCTCCCAAGTGTCCGAATCAACTTGGCTCCATTGCGAAATCGAGCCATCTTGCGTCCAGCCATCATAGGTGGAAGCCTCGGTCCAGCCATCCCAATCATCTTTGCAGGGTTCATCGAGCCAGATATTGGTCGAGCCCTGCTTGGCCCAGGCATTGGCCGAGCCCTGATCAACCCAGGAATTGCTCGAGCCCTGCTTGGCCCAGGCATTGCTCGAGCCCTGCTTGGCCCAGGCATTGCTCGAGCCCTGATCGGTCCAGGACTTGGTCGAGCCCTGATCGGTCCAGGACTTGGTCGAGCCCTGATCGGCCCAGGCATTGGTCCAGCCCTGATTGGCCCAATCGCCCTCGCTCCAGCCGTTCGTGGAGGATTCATTGGACCAGTCATCTTTGGTCCAGCCACCATCATTGGAATCCCATCCGGCGGTCCAGGCATCGTTCTGATTCCATCCATCGCTGGTAGATGCCCAGCCACCTTTGGCCTCCGCCCAGCCACATGGATTGGAATCGGTCCAATCCCAATCAGACCAAGCCTCTTGCTTCCAATCTTCGCCCTCTTCATCCTTGCATGGCGGCTCCTGCTCCTGCTCCGGATCCACTAGGCAGTCTAGCAACCAAACCTGATCTTTCTCCGGATCCTTGGAGTCTGCGTACTCACCCAACCAAGCCTCCAAGGTTTCACGGGGCTTCCCTCGCAAGGCATCCCGAATATCGGGATGCCGATCCAAGTAGGCTTGCATACTCTCGATCATACGCTGCTCCGATTTGTTGAGCTCTTCGCCATCCTGATTGCTGGGAAATCTGAGATTCAAGCATATAATTTATAACCTCTAGACCCGGGCTGCGCACCAAGTCAGTCTGGCTGGCCTCGGATCGTGGACTCGACGGTTCGTCAGCCTCAATCACGTATGTCATTTGCCCCAGAATGCTGAAAACGTACTCAGAGTGCCCGGCAAGCTGGGCGTCGCCTCCCGAACGTCGAAGCCTAGTCAGTCGAGCTAGAAAACTCTCAAAACCAGAAGTCGAAACCAGCCTGCCCGACGGGTTGACATCCTCCGGATCATTCTCGTCCATCATATCCTGATCCTATATCAAGTGTCCACAGAGAACTCCAATACCGAGGCATACCACCCACAACCCAGACCGACCCCTGCCTCCGCATCAATCTCGTCGTTCATATCCTGATCTTATATCAAGTGTCCACAGAGAATTCCAATACCGAGGCATACCACCCGCAACCCAGACCGACCCCTGCCTCCGCATCAATCTCGTTGATCATATCCTGATCTTATATCAAGTGTCCACAGAGAACTCGAATACCGAGGCATACCACCCGCAACCCAGACCGACCCCTGTATATACCTCTAATTTTATCTCTCTCAACCTCCCTCTCTCTCTCGCTCTCTCTTTCTCTCTCCTCGCTCAAAGCAGTCACTCACTTGCTCACTCACCCACTCAGCTCGAATCTCAATCCCTGTCGTGCTCGCTCTTTCCGGCCATCTCCTCTCTTATCTTAGTCTCAGCTTGCATACACAGTCAAAGTTGGCTATAAATTGAGGGCATGGCAGCGATCTCTTCCGGGTCGTGCTCCTTTTGCAATCAAATACAGAGATGCAAAGGCACAGGCTAATTATCCCAAAGATACGAGGGCCTTCGGGGGAGCATTGCTGTGTTCCCAGGAATCCCAAGACCTCGCAATTCTGAACATCACAGCTGATCAAAAGCCCAAGTGCCAGCACCGAGACCCAGGCAATCCCTCGGCGGCTGTCTGCCACTCGGCAGCAGCGTCCTATTGCAAATGAAAGCTGTTCGGGGAAGTGAGTCAATCTAAGTAGGGAGGCCCGGCCTCCCCGTCGTAAGTCAAAGTATCGTGCTCGGCCATGGCGGGCTTGGCTTGCCGTGTTCGTGAATGCGAGTTCTTCTTAGCCCGATAACACAAATGCACGATTCGAGATACCTGACGCTGTCTCCAAGTTTTCAAAGGAAACCCCGGAACGATAGGATACTGTATACGATACTGCTTTACGAGTATCTCCAATGCAAGCTGTGCTACTTCCCGAGTCACCAACTTACACGGTGAGCTTTCTGCCCAGCTCAAGCAGCGTCGCAAACTCCGGGATCTTAGGGAGCCGTGAGGGATTATGTCTCCTGAGGTAGCTATGCGCTGCCCGCCGTCCGCGGCGGCAAAAGACTCCCAGAGTTTCTTGGCCAGGAAAAGGGCTCGACGTTTCAGGTGAAACCGATGTACAATTGGCATCGGATCCAAACTGCGGCAACCTAATTTAGAGCTTTCCAACCCGAGAGCAACACATGTGCCAGCTGCACCTGGCAAGTCGAGATCGACGTCGGAGCCCTCGTCGACGACGGGGATCGGGAACGGATGGAACTCTCCTGGCAAAACTAGTGGGAATCTATTTTGTTATAGTCTCTTTATATTTGATCATGCCGGCAGTACGCTGGCACGTCCAGAGCGAGAAGCCTCGGGGTGTTAACTGTAGATCTTATATCAATTCCATTCATTGTAAGTGAGCCGCCATCGTCAATGACCTCGCCAATCCCCAAGTTCAGACGGCAATCCTGTGACGAAGGGTGGATGCGATTTCTTTTTTTTGAAAGGAAAACAAACCCCGTCCTGCTCCATCCGTGAGCCGATCGGTGCAAGCTTGACCCTTCTTATCTGAGCGCAAGTATTTGTAGCGATAGTGAAGCTAGACGTAGGTTCCAGCTTCACACTCAAAGGTTCCAACTTGCACACAGGTTTTGACTCTTTACCTCTAGCGGGCCAGTTAGACCTGCCGGACCGGCTCTTTGCCGGTTTTTCCGGCATGCCGGGCACCAGGCTTCAGGAAGCTTGAGCACACGTACGATCAAAGCCCAGCTCAGGATTGCACATGCCGATGCAGCTGCGAATGGATGAGACCGGCTTGGCTGAACGATCCTTTAATTGAGGGATCTGGGTGTTGGGTTTTGTACATATATATGTATGCATGTATGTATGTATGTATGTATGTGTGTAGGTACGTAGTTTTGTAGACATGCATGTGAGCTTTCTATATGTATGTGCATGTGTATATATATATATATATATATATGTATACTGCATATACACATGTTTTCTGCTACGTTGTGTAAAGAAAGTTCATGTTCATGGTCAACACAAAACAAAACAAGTTTCATCGTTTAATTCATCACAATACATCTTTCTTACGTACCTCCGCCGCGCGCAAACATGCGTAACCTTCGATCTTAAGACGCGAAGTAATTAATTAATTAATGCTATATACGATCCAACAAAAGAAAAATAATAATAAAATATCTATATAATTCAAAACAAATAAAGGAAACGCTCCTGGGCCACGCGCGCGCGCGCCCCGCCCGCGCGCGCTCCGCGCGCGACCCGAAATGCATTTTCTTCAGATAATATATATTATATATATATATATATTAATTAATTAATTAATGCTATATACGATCCAACCAAAGAAAAATAACAATAAAATATCTATATAATTCAAAACAAATTAAGGAAACGCTCCTGGGCCACGCGCGCGCGCGCCCCGCGCGCGCGCGCGCGCGCGCGACCCGGAAATGCATTTTCTTTATTAATATATATATATATATATATATATATAATAAGCGTTAATTAATTAATTGTATTTATATAATATATATTGTTATTAATTAAATATTATATTATATATATATATATGTATATACTATAAATATAATTTCGTATCCGCGCGCGCGCGCGCCTGTGGCGCCACCGTGGCGCCACGAGCGCGCGCGCACGCGCGCGCAGCTCCTATAATTTTTCTAGGTACATATAATACGTACATACGTATGTATATATATATATATATATACATATATTGATTTTGTATTTCAATATACGTTAACGTATATATATTTATATATATATATATATATGTAACATTATCTTAAGGTTCGATAGCTCGTTCTTCGAAGTAACAATTTTTGAATTTGTATGTATAAGTATGTATATATATATATATATAATAAGAATTAATTATTATTATACACCTGTTCTAAGGCGTGTATGTGTCTTATATTTATGATCATATGTCAAGAATATGTGCTAGAATTATCATCGGACGCTACGCATATAAGTGTTTTGCGCGAGCATCGTACACGCACGGAACACCGCCCCACGGATCGCGACGACACGGGGCGCCACGATGCGCCACGCGGCCGGATGACACCACGCGGCCGTTGGACACGTGGCCGCAGACACGTGGCCGTTTACCCCGTCCTGGCTTACCCACGCCTCAGCTCGCGTTTCGATGCGCCTTAAGTCGTGGCGTCAGCTTCTCATCAGTGCGCTTTGGATATTGGGAGCAGCACGGCGGACGGCGGCTGCGTGGAGCCGGGGCCACGCCGGCTGGAGTCGGAGTTCCGTCACTGGATCATGCATCGGGCATCCCCTCCTCAGGTATGCCCTGGAGCTCCTTTCCGTCGTTGCATTGGACATCGGTGTGGGGCCCGGATGGCAGGGCTAGCAGAGTTTTGGCATAGATCGTCGATTCCTTCGTCGTCGATAATGGGGTGTTCGCTCTGTCACGCTCGTTGTGCCCTCCGCCCGTCAGGCGCACTTTGCTGAGTTTAGTGAGCTGGCATCGCCGTCGTTTAGCAAGCAAACCTGGCACCGTGTGGTTGGCACGTATAGATGGCTTCCTTTTGCACCGGCGTGGAGGCTGTCGCGTTGGAGGCCTTGTGGGGCCAAGTGCAGGATGTTCAGCAGACACTCCTGGGACTACATGTTGCTGCCACACCACTCTGAAACACCGTCGTGCTTTGAGGTTGACAACCGTTCGGTGGCCTACCTAAACGGCTTGGCAAGATGAGATGCTGAGAGCGCCAGCAAGCTGGATGCTTGGACTCTGAGCTTTCTGTCGGCGCTTGCATTGACAACCACAGGCGGAAGGGCTTTGGGTGAGAGGCGAGAGCCATGCGGCGGAGAGGTCAGATGGAAGGCCGAGGTTGAGGAAGGTGAGGGCTTTTGCCAGAAGTCACACAAGCTAGCCAGCCATAAGGGGGACATACTGAGACATACTGCGTGCGATTGGAGCTGGATTTGGCTGGGGCGCCTGCGGACCTTGGGGTGTGAGAAGGTGGTGCCATTGGATGGAGAAACGAGCCTCCAATGATGCTATTGATGCTCACCTACCGCGCCGCTTGGGCTCCAATGATGCGCACAATGCTCGCTTGGCGGTTTCGTCTGGGTATAGCAAAGATGCGCATGGCGGCTCCATGATATGCTCATGACTCATGATGCAGGA